GATATGTTATAAAATTATTTTTTGTAAAATATATTATTCTATTCCATTTAAATAAAAAATCTAAAATTTATTAAAATAGTTATTTTCATATATGCAAATTAAGCTTTTAAAATTTGTTTACAGTACTTTTATCAAAAGAAGTAATATATGTAAATTCTGAAATTGTTAAATCTTACAAAATCCAAACTAAAACTTCATTACTGTATAATTAAAATATAAATAAAATACAGTTCCCTCAGTTACTTTTGATGAATTTTCAGTTTTTTAACACTTAAATATTCAAAATTTAAAGTATTAATAACCCCTTGACTAAAGCATTTATAATAAATAATGCAGCATTTTGTCTTCTATTTAAACATTCTGTTAGAATTATGAAAAGTACGAAAGTAATAATTCAAAAAAAACGAAATAAATTTTTTCTATTTTAAGGCATCTAAAAAAATTTTACAATAAAAATTCATATTATTTTTAAGCACCAACCAAAAAACTGTAAAAAAGCAAAGAAGCAGCTGGAGCATCTGGAAATTTGAATTCTTCTAAGTACCAAAAAATCTATAAATACAAATGGAAATTTGAAATCTATTCAGTATCTAATAAAAATGAATAAATACAAAAAGACAAATAACTAAATAAACTGATAAATAAATAAAGTAGAATGCAAATAAATTTAATGCGTAGTATACTATCTTGCATTGCAAACATTCTAGATGTATTCATGGATCACTGTTCAAATTACTGTTATTTCTCACTTTATCAACATTTTAAGTTTGTATTCATTAGTAAAGTAATGATAAAATAAGTAATGATAAATAAATAACGATAATAATAAATGTTTATTCATAAATGCGTATATGCATTATATACGAATTTCACATCCATGGATTAACGAATTTATGCATAAGTATGGTGAGTGTTATATTGCAATGGAGCATATAATTCATTAGCTTGTAAAACGATATCAGTATTAAATTTCCAGCATTTTTAAAATATTCAACTATGTTGAATTTTTTTCAGAAACAATCTTGCTTGTGTATTTAAAGATTAAACACAGTTAGCCTCGTGGAATTCTGATCCATCACTTCTTTTACTATGAAGCTACTATGTAACAAGATAATATTAGCTTCTTTCAAAATTGGATTCTGTTTCTTTTCTTTCAGAATACACAAATCAGTTAAGAACATGATAAACTAGAATACGTTAGCAAATTTATGCATATCATAATAAAACAAATCATACCAGCCATAATGATCTAATTTAATTTACATACAAAACAGTAATTAATAACTAATTATTCATTAAAATGAATATTAAAAATAAAAAACAAGCAACAGTAATAATATAAATAACTGAACGAAAGAGAAAATTGCTACAAAAAATATCTTTTTTCAAACTATTATTATCAGAGATATAAATACATAGGCCGAAAAGCAACAAAAATTTATACCAATCATTTGAATTTTTTTAAAGCTAAAAATATTTCGTACAAATAACTTATTTTAAACGTGAAATTTGACATCTTATATAGCAAAGCAAAGCCTTTAGACAAAAACTATCGCGTAAATTATCACCGATTTGCTAAAATTTTTTTGAGCAATTATCGATTCATAACAAATTTTTTAGAAATTTGTTTTTTAGAAAATTTGATATTTTTCGAAAATCATAGACTTACTGAAATCATTACACTTTTCTAGCATTACACTTTTTTGAATTAAAAAAAAAACAAATTCTTTAATTGTAGTCACAAAAATCAAAGCAATACCTCAAAAATGTGCTATGACCAACGCTACTACACTCAAATTATTAATTTTGCAACATTATGTGACTAAGCATTCACAAATACATATATATATACTTTTAAATAAAACTTTTGTTGGATAAAAAATTTATTTAATCTCCGCTAATTAAGTCATTAAATTTCTCACAGATTAAATAATAATGGCTTTATGAATGCTTTTTTGAATCCAAAAAACACCAAAGACATTAAATTCAATTAAGCCATTAAATTTTCTACACATTAAATAAAGTCAAATGCATATATTAAATTATGCAAAAAAAAATTCTATTATAAAGTGATAATTATATCAAGTCGATAACTATGAGTCAAACTAGGAAATGGACAACTTTGAAAAAAACCAAATAAGATGAATTTTTATGTTACACATATAGGGACCCTTGAAAGAAAGGAAACCGAAAGCAAAACTGATACCAATCAGTCATCTCCCTCAGAAGCTTTACAGAAAATCACTATGCAAACCACTTCTTTAATAATACATCAAAGTCCACATTATTCTATCACTTTGTATTACCTGAAATCAAACTTCTAATCCATCTACATATATTAATGTTTTACATGTAGACACATTTTATGCAAAAATTACGATAAACTTTTTTATCGCAAATCTTTAAGCATACAATCAGACAACAATTTTGCAAGACACACATCCACACTATGTTTATACATTCAATGTTGATCATGTATGTCAATAAAAAAACAATCAAATGACAAATGATAAAAACGGCGCCAATTTTATTCATTCTTATTATTATTCTGTTTCGTTATATACTACATTCAAGCCTTAATTTCTGAAAGATAATAAACGACTTTAGACACTTTAGATTATTGCATTCACAAAATAAACAAGAATGGAACTATATACAAGGATGTTCACAGCATATATATCTTATTAACATTTAGAACGACGGACAATAATATGAATAAAATTATCAAGATATGAAAGATTTTGTAACATCCAAGTAAGTGGAGTTGACAAGGGTACTTTAACACTGTGAGAAATGACTGGTAACTGATATTCAATGTTTACAGATTTCAACGCATCAGCAATTGTGTGCGCTTCTCCTGACTCGTTATAAGGTGTAATTAATGGTTGTCGGAAAGGGCAATCATCCTGAGATGCAATATTTACGGAAATTTTATAAAGTCATGAAATATTTTTAAAACACACAAAATAAAGAAAAATAATGAAGAAAACTAAAAGTGAAGATAAAAAATCCTCACGTAAAAAAAACTGACGCTACCTCGTGAATACGAATAGGAACATGAAACAGTGGATCGCTTTCACTAGTTCCCATCAGCTTCTTATTTATAGCCCAAAACTCATCAAATTTATCTGCAGTTAATGCAATAGTTTTCTTCAAAAAATGAAATGAAACGATAATATGATGGAAACTGTAGTTTTTTAAATTCAAACCACTAAAAAACTAATGAAAGAAAACAAGGTATTTGAAAAAAAGCAGTATTAGGTAAAATATCATTAAAGAGACAACTAACCATGCAATATACTGCTCCATAATAACCGACATTCGTCAACTTTCATTGAACTAATAATCTTGCCTTTATGTTTTAGCTGATCTGCTTCTTTAACAGATTGAATGTACAAACTTTCTAAGTCATTGCCTTTACATTGCATCACTTCCATGGGAAAATCCTATCAGAAATTTTCTCAAAAACATGCTGTTTGTATTTAATAACACTCTACTGAAGAATTCCTAACCAACTGCAAGCAAAGAAACTTAATAATTATAACTCTGAATTAGCGATATTATTGGAATAATTAACCAAAGACATTAAAATAAATTTAAAAAAAAGAGGTTCAAATAAGTTCAGCTCATATGTATGCAGCACAAAAAGAACAAAACCTTCGTTCTGAGTACAATGGTCCATGGTAAAAGATGATCCGCTTTTAACAAATCAAACAAAAGACCTACTGGATAGTGCCTGAAATACGTATTACGAAAAAAGTGTAAAACTGGAATACAGACAAATAATAAAACTTAAGATAATAGAGATTAATTATAAAGAACATCAAGTGAGAAAATCCTTCACTGAAAAATGATAGATTTTGCTAAATGCAAAGAAAAGTGGTAAATAACCATTTTAACGGTTTTGAATTATATTGTAACCATACAGAACTTGTATCAAAACTATCCACAACAGTTGAAAAATACTGCAGAACTCGGGGTAAAATGAGAGGAAAATAACTCATTTCCGGAACTACTACCTAAAAAGTTACCAAATTTTTCCATAAAAATCAGAAAAACGCAATAAAAAATGACTAATCTCATCAAATTATACATATCAATCAATTTAACTAAAGGCATAAATATTATTTTTTGATGAGTCTTATCTGCTTATACTTGTTTGATTACTAAGCTTTGCAGAATATTACTTTCTGATAATAGTGAAATAAATTGAGGGACAGACTAATGCATTAACAAATTTTATGGCTGGAAAATAATTTCCGGCAGCTCATATAATAGGAAATAGTGATTCGATGTATCGAGCAGGATCACAAGGAAATCAAAAACTGGCATGATAAAGAATTATAATTGCTGTTGGTATATTTTAACTTTGCAATCAATTCAGTTCGAAATTTTAGGACTATTATTTTTCTGCATATTACAATTAAATTTACCTTATCAGTTTTACACCAAAAATCAGTCTTATTTCCTAATTATAAACAAAAGTTTTGGAAAAAGTGAACGGTAAAATTAACATAGAATGGTTTGGCTGTACACTGCATGAATTCCAACTTGTCGAGAACAAACTGAACGGGTATCCGACCATCCCATAATTTACGGGTTACCTCATAATCCTGCATACCTGCCAAGAAAACCAACTTTTGAAATTCTAAATAAGAAAGAATCATTTGATTAGAAATATAATGTAATGTACTTTTGACGCAAATCCAGATAATTATAAACCATACTTTCAAATAAGCAAAATAAATTATTTTAGCTATGATTTTCATAACTTGAAAAAAAATTTCACGGAACTAAAAGGAAAGTTTTTTTCTAAAACACGAGTTCTGGGTCAACGCGTAGACATTATACACGTAAAAATGCAAAAAAACACGCAAAAATAGAAAAAAACCAGACACACTGAAAAAAAATAGTAGAAGAAAAACCACGTA